TCTCCTGTCAAGCATGACTGAATACTTACTGGAGCTATCTTTTTAAAAAGTTTAAATTTAATTAAGTAAATTTAAAATTACGCCATTTGCCAAAATATTTAAAAATGCAACTTAATGAGGAAAATTTCCCCAAAGTATTCTCGGTCCTTTCGGAAAGAATGGCTTCAAGAAAAAAATCTTAAAGGTGCTTACCTTTAAGATTTTTATCTTGAAGCCATTCTTTCCGAAAGGACCGAGAATACTTTGTCCATTTTCCCATTTTAATACCAATAACAAATAAATTATAAAACTTATATAAATTATACTTTGTTTAAAAACAAAACGAGTAGACAGCACAACAAGTATTACCGTTCTGTGCGCAAAACAAAGGATGAAATAATTTGTGTAACCAGCCCAAAATCTAGCCAAGTCAAATTTTTGTAGCCCAAAAAGTAGCCAGTGCGCCAAATGCTTTTTTTAACGCCAAACTGAAAAATAAGTAGCCCAATTTGGCGCAAAGTAGCCAAATCTGGCAACGCTGTGTAACAACATCCAAGAATGACTTCATGGAGACATGGACCCCGTTATGCCCTGAGGGTCCCACACCTTCCCTTTGTTACTAAAGGGGTCACCTGCTGTTACGCCGTTAAACAAAAGTAGGGAGAAACTTCCAGAAAGAAAGACAATAGAAATGAAGATAAAGGGAAATATATATATGATATAAAAAATAAACTATAACTATACAATTATGGCACGTAGCCACACGGGTCCGCGCATCGTCAACATGGTATTTTCCTGGTTTTCTTCACGTTAGTAAAATTTAAATAGGAAGCAGTTTCCCATAAAAGACTTCCCAGAAGATATTCCGCACTCGGCAAATCGCTTGTGTGTCAGTTGCCGTATACGAATAAACCAAACATTTCGACTCTATGGGCACTACAGGCATGGGCGTAGCCAGAGTTTTGTTATGGGGGGCCTAGTGGAGGCCAACCTGACACAAAATTGAATTATTTCAAATTATTGTTCATTATTGGGCACCAAGCAAGCCGTTCACCTTTTTTTTAGTATTCAAAACTTTTATTTTAGCTTTAGGTGTTTACAAATCGACTCAACACTTTTTCGGCTGTGATTTCCTGGGGGGGCCCAGGTTCCCTGGGAGGGGCCGTACCCACCCAGGCTCCCCCCTCGCTACGCCCATGACTACAGGGTGTTTTTAGTGACCCGACATAACCAGACGGATTTTCCCTCGAATAATTTTTGGGATTTTTCGAACCGTCCGAACTCGATCACTAGCATCCAGAGCGGTAGGTTACTATCTTTTTACAATAAGTGGATTCCATTATATTAAAAAAATATAAAAATCTCGAAAGATTAATTTTAAACTTCTTTTAATTTTTACAAGGAAAATGATTTTTATCTGTTTTAACTTTAATTCTTTTTGTCCCGCGGAACTCTCGAGGTAGTTTATATTATTATTTTTTAAATTATAAATTCATTTTACGAAAATACATTTCATAAGGCCCGAAAACAGATTTTTATATTACTAATTAGATTCGATTATAATAAACCATTTTCGGAAATATTATTTCAGAAATATTTTATAAATAAATGGTGTAATTTTTAAAAGTTACTTAAAATAAATTCGAATACAGTTACTAAAATGAAATATATATATGTTTTTCTAGCTTTTGCCATTAAATATTTCCCGAATCTACAAGTATAATCGTCTTCTTACATCCCGAATTAGGTTCGATTGTAATAGACATTTTCAAAAGGTTACTTACGAAAGACGTTATAAAATTAAATAAATTAATATATTAAAATTTAAAAAACTTTCGTAACGTAACTTGGAATTGGATTAAAAAGTTTAAGCATATATATTTTTACTAATTTTTGCCAATTTTGTCGCTTCGAACGTACGTTCTCCGCCTCTCTAGGGATAGGAGTTAAGCTGCGAGAGAGTCGTACTGTTGGACTCGATAGGGGAAAAATATATATATTATATATATAATATATTTTAAATTCGTATAAATTGATCAAATCGAAACATAACAGTGTAACTACTATTGTGAATATTGCTATAGACCAAGATGGAACTAAGAGAAAAACATGGTAATTAACGAAATTGCAGGTGACGTTTAGTTGTGACAGAATAATAACGATTACCTTAAATTCAATTAAGTTTAATATTCGTAAACTGGTGTATTAATACGTCGTATTTCCATGTGTTATATACTTCGTATTAGGATATTGAGCAAACGTAATTTAATTCCTTTTCCTATTTTTCGTGTCCATCTTTGCATTCGAGCTAAATTGCCTGTCCCACGTGAACGTGGTCAACAAATTTTAAAGCTATTCTATTAACAATTAAACAATTACGAAATTAATCGACTATTCCTATATTCTTTACGTATTGCTAATAAATCACCAACCTTGATTTTATATAATCTTAATCCAAAACAATCGTCTTTTTTCGTTTTGTATTTCAAACTCTTTTTCTTGTAAGCAAATTATAGTTTAATGGTTAAACTGAAAAGTAAAACCTTCCAACATTCTTAATGTCTTACCAATAAATCTATATTACTGATTTTTACATAATCTATATACAAAAAGCCATTTCTAATTTTATACTTAAAACTGATGCTACTTGGTATAAATTAATGTGACTCGACGTTAAAATTATTCTTAGTTTTATAAAATTAATGGTGTTTGTGTACTTCCAATAAATCCTTAATGTCCATTTGTACCGTCGTGTACATATAATTGTTTTTTCTACTTTTATGCTCGAAGCCCGTCCTTCTTCTCGTAAACTAATCATGATTTAATTTTTACTTTTTAAACTTAATAACGGTTTAATTATTAATCCGATAATCTTTTTGTATTATTAATAAATTGTAATTACGTCCGAAACGTCGCCGTATTTTCCTAAATTTGTTCTTGCGGCTATTAACTTTTTATACAAATTAATTATAATTTAACTCTAATAACTAAATTGGTATTATGTTTATAAAGTAATTTATTATAATTTATAAACTAGTTATAAATTTATAATGTTGATTTTGTACAGTCTTTTACTACTAATTTTTATATTTCAGATTACTTCTACTTTATATAAATTAATTTTATATTTAATTTTTGATATTAAATTAATGTTTAAAGCTATATCTAATTTTTTTTTGTAACTTTTGTGTGCTTTTTGCAATGGGATGAATTTGTAAAGTTAGTTTTTTCAAAAGGAGATTGTAATATAAATGAATTTGGATCATTTTTATAAAGTTAACAACTTATAATTGATTATATTAAATATTTGCCTAATTTTTTTTTAATTTATNAGTTAACATTGCAACACTACACTCAAAGAAATTACTATTAATTCTGTAATACTATAGATCCCATCATGTCATTTAAGGTCGACATCTTTGGAAACGACTCTAGGTAATGTTGTAGGATTAAATTTAGATGCATATTTGATTTTAACGAATCATTTTTATATATGATTTTTAATCTGTTGTTAAGTATAAAATTGATCCGTCATCTTTAATTAGCTAAAGTATTTTAATTTAGTCATCTTCTGTTGATATTTCGAGAGAAAAAAAAACTAGAATAGATTAACTAAAAATATTCGTAGATTAGTTTCGATACGTGCGTCCAAAATATCCATATTTTTTCGTACGCTGCCAAATTTCCGCCACATCTAACGCACTTCGATAGTTGCCAAATCACATTGGCCATAAATTGAAAGAATAGGCCATCGAGTAAGATTAAATTAAATAAGAAAATAAATGGAAGAATTATATAATGTGTACATTATAATTGACTTAGTTACTTAATGTGAATTTGTAGAAATATATGTCTATTTATTCTTTTAAGAATTTTAACTAAATTATATACATTTGCATGACCTTGAATTTGATTTTTTAAATTTTTTTAAAAAGTCTGATCAAATAAAATCCTATTTTGGAGGGCATGATCTAGTTTCAAATTTATAAAATATTTTTTTAATAAAAAATAATTGTATCTACATCATTTTAAAAATGATATTATATAATTTCTAATTGTTTAAGTTTTGTTACAGTTTATTACTTATTGTGACAACAGTTTTAAAGATGTTTAAAGTCATCATTTGTACAGTACATTTATATGTTAAACTGTGAAATATTTTATTGCTAAATTTTTCAAGTTTCAATTCATAATTTTCTCTTGCATTAGACATAGCTAATTTTTTTTAAAGTTTGAGGATTTTATTACATATTTTTCGTGTCCGAATTTGACGGCACGCCTCAAATAACGTGCTACGGAAGATGCAGCACCGATCCAACCTTCTAGGTGCTTAAAAGTTCTTTATCTGTATATCTCTCCGGCATCTCGGCTTCCGCCCTTCGGGAAGGAAATAATAATTGTACATTTTCCGAGTTTCCTTTCTTCCCTCGCCGTCGATCGTTTGGAAAAGTTTGAGAGAACCCCAAGTAATAATTTATAATCCCATATTTATTTTACTTTTTCATTTACTACTTTAATTATATATTTTGAAAGAAAGTTACTATAGAAACTAATTAGTTATCTATCAAGGATAATATATAAATAGAAGGAAAACCAGGAGGAGGATTAAGATTAGCTTAACCCAGTTATTAAGAAAATTTTAATCTTTTGTATAAAATTTTACTGTATTTTAATCATCCTTTTCCTGGTTTGAGCAACGACCTATCTATAAAACTTATCATTATCAAGATTTTTGCATGTATTTTGAATTTTTCTAACCGTGACAAGGAACTCTTTTAAAAATTGTAATATATCCATTAGAAGTGGGTCATTGTTAACAGGACACTGGTTCAGGCGTCTGAAGGGAAAAAGAATGTTTCAAACACACACACATACACACAAGCGATGAAATCGATGCATTGTATTACAGTGGTAGTAGTAGTGGTAGTAGTTGTATCTCGTGACGTAACCGTCCACGCTTATGTACTCTTAAGAAACTATATTTGCAATAAATCTTTTTGCTACTTTGCAAAATGCTAATTAAGAAAAACCTAAATACAAAACGTAATTGGAAATCTGCCAATCAGTAACGTCGGCGCCTTTACGCTTTGGCATTCGTTTGGATAAGTTTAAAAAATGATGGAAATATCGTGGAAATATGTCAGATTTTCGTTCGATGTTTTTATTATTATTTTTTCGAATTGGAAAATTTCAACTGGGAAATACATTATCGGCCGGAGTAACTTTCCTTATCTTGCAGCGATAAGTTTGCTCGTTGATCGGCATCTTTTTTTCGATGAAGATTCTCGCTATCGAGGGGATCGTCTCGTGTTCGTACGTGGCTTTCGATCACTTTAACTCACTGATCAATTAGTTGGATGTATGCCATTTGTGCGTCAACCACACCATTTCCTGTGATGTTGCAATGTTAATCATAGCAGTTACGACTATCAAGGTTAGTGTCCCGATACGTCACCGCTTTCTAGGATCGGGGACGTATTTAAAAATCCGAAAAGTGAAATCTCTTTTGATAATTAGGTCGCGAGAAATCGAATATATTTCTTTCTTTTTTAATTACTACTCGTTATCCCGCCTCCTCTTTGTGAAATGCGCACGCTATGCGGCATAAAGAATTTTGAAAATAATTTCGTGTCTCAACATAAGATCGGGTAGATTTGACGTCATCGGCGTTATCTCTGACGATAAAGGAAGATGAAAGACGTCTTAGGTGTTCTACCGTCTGCGATTGTGTGGAGGTTTTTCTCTTACGAAATTTTTAAATATCAGAAATGCATGTTAAAAATGATTTATATGGGGTTTATTTATTCGCAGTTCGTTTGTTTAGCGATAAATATTTTTATTGCCGGGATATTACATAAGCTTAAATAATTTTGTTTTTTGTGCGTTGCAGGTAGAAGGTAGGAGATCGTCAGTCGGTTGAGATGTTTAAAAATCGTCGTAAAGCACCATCGAACGATGCTCATCAACAGACGGCCGAAACGGACGCGGTCAACAAGCGTCAAACCTCATCTCCCAACTGCGAAACATGCGGACGTCAAGCATCTTCCAGGTTTGCTATGACTCGTCACCGCCTCAATTATCACGGTAGTTGCCTACAGGCCAGATCGGACTCGCCGAAACATTCTCCAGAGCGAACGAACAACAACAGCAGTACAAGCAAAGAATCTAGTCCCGGCAAAGGAAGTCGCTTTTTACATGGAAAAACCGAAAGATCCTCGTCTCCTATACCAAAATTACGGACTACCAGGCGTGTTTTGGCCAGTCTGACAGGTAACAAGTCGTCGTCGTCGTCGCTGGTCGAAAGCCCCCCTTCGGGTGATCACAAGAAGGAAAGGAAAAAAAGGATACCGGCCAAAACCGAAAAGAAGAAGAGCGACATGACGGAAAGCGTAGAGGATAACTTAACGAAAGAAAGTGCCGAAGTATGCGTCAATAAGAACGAAACGTCGGTGGTCGAGGAGGACGAAGCCGTCAAAGCCAGGGATACTTCGCCGTGTGGCAGGTTTCTGAAATTCGAAGAAGAAATCGGACGCGGCTCGTTCAAGACCGTGTACAAAGGCCTGGATACGTCGACGGGTGTGGCAGTGGCATGGTGCGAATTGCAGGTACGACCCCTTTTCTATTTTATTTTCCCCTCCGTTTGTGTCGGTGACCTTGTAATCGCTTTGTTCCACCTTACGGTACTTTTGACTGCATTTTGCCAAATCACCTGGTATTTGACGTCACACCTACCATATTAACGCGTTTATTTTTGCGTGTTTTTCGAGGTTGTTGCGAGATGTTTTAAAGTTTTACAGCAATTTTTTAAGGCTTTACATTTAATTCGATTTTTAACCGTCCGAGTTGTCAATTTTGCGATATATTTTTCGGAAAAATTGGCATTCGTTCGTGAAATAAAGATACTTAAATAAGAGGCTTTTTGAAGAAATTTTAAGTATTTAATTAACTTTTAATGAATTTTAATCATCTTAGTTGTCAGTTTTGACTTTTTGTGCGTGTATGTGTTCTACAAGTACTTCACATTGTCGATTACGAAAAAATTGGCAGGGGAGTCGACACATTCGTTTGTCAAGTGTAAGATTTGACCATTATAAACCAATTATTCGAAGAGCAAACGGGAGAAATCATTAGTTTCTGACTTGTGTTTCCGCAATTTTCTGTTTAGCACCCCGGTGACGTCACTTCCGCTATTCTCTTCACCAGAAATGACGAAGAGATCAATTGGGTCGTTGACTTTCTTATCGAAGGAGTGGGAAGTTATAAACTGTAAAACATTTTAGGAATATTATTTTCGTTCGTCTATAAACAGTCCTCCTTTTTATTAAAAACAGGAGCTTTATTTTATGTTCGATGATTCCTTAATTAAATTGCGATGAACGAGGGTGAGAAATGAATAATTCGAAATTAATTGCTGGTTGTTACAATATTAAGAAACTCGATATCTGACACGAATTTCAAAGTGCAGCATTTATTTTTGGAATGGATGTTTTAATATTAATCGACCGTTCGCACGCCTAATTGTTAAGCAAACGTGTAAATGTGCTTACATTGTTGGCGAGCTGTCATTTATGAACGCTATTTTTACTTGGAATAATGAATTTTAAGTGTTTTTATATATATTTTAAAGGGTGTGATAGGCTACAATGTTTTATAAAGTAAAAAGTAGCATTTTTTTTTACGTTGGTTTGCTAGATGCTTAATGATTTCGATCACAATCGAGGAAGAACATTGTTTTTATTTTGTTATATGATTTTTAAGTTATCGAAGGAGAAGTTATTTAAATCTGTCGTAAGAGGACGGGATGTGTTTTTGATATAAATTACTTGTAAACAACCTAATCTAATGGGGATCTTTTCAGGATTGATATATATATATATATTCTACAGATTTTTAAGTATAAGTAATTAAATAAATAAATATATTTATTTATGCTTTATTACATAAATTAAAATATATATATATATAAAATTTTTGTTTTATGCTTGTTTATATATGTAAACAAGCAAGTATGTAAAAATGCCAGTGTATTACAGCATTTACAAATGTATTACTATAGAACATTAGGACTAATTGTCAGGTAGATTTTTTGATTGGGTGTTGCATCCACCATGTGCTACCTTACCCACATCTGCATCAAAAATTTTTTTCCTTCCTTAATATTATTTTCTTTGAGATGAAAGTATGGTTGAGATACTTTATGCAAAAGCTAGAAATACAATGTATTCAACAATTTTATATTTACAAATACAGTAGAACCCTGATTATCTGAGGTAATGTGGACCAATGCTACTTCAGATAACTGAAAACTTGGGTAAAATGGATGGCCACAGCCATTTCAGATGAAAATTAGCAATATAGAAATTTATATGCTAGCACTTTTAAGCCTCTTTTTATACCTTAGTGAATTTAATCATATTTAAAAATAGCAATTACAGCCTATAACACTGTTGATTATTTCGTTTTATATGAATTCCACGTTGTACGAGTCACTTAGATTTTATAAATATGTGAGCCGTTCACAGCCCAGCACACGTATTTGTAAAATCTAAGTGACTCGTACAACGTGGAATTCATATAAAATGGAATTATCAACAGTGTTTTAGGGAGTTGCTGTATTACATCATTTATTAAACGTCAATACATGTAATAAGAATAAAAATGTGTATTATGGTAGTTACATTTTAATATGAATAATTTGTCTCACTTTGAAGTTAAGTGATAAAAGGTAACAGAACATGTTAGTGTTTTGAATTTTTAGTTAATTTTCTGTTTTAGAAAATATGTGATAAATTTTATAGTTGTATACAGTATAAAAAAATAAAATNTAGTGGAGAATGTAACGTGCAACAAACATTTAACGTAAGGTCTGTCACATAATTACAATTACACTCTTATTTTTTAATATCATAAAAATGAATGAAATATTTATTTGATTACTGCTATAATAATGTTTGTTATTTCAAATTATACAATATTTATCACTGAAATAACACACAATATTTTATTAATTATTATTATTATTTTTTATAAACAATTTTACATTAAGTTAAAATAAAAAATATTGGAATTTATAGTAACTTTTTGTGCATTTATGGTAGTGCAATGCAAGGAGACTTGTGGGATTTTCTTTGAGCAAGGGCAAAACATACACAATCTAGATTGAATAACCAGTTGATTAATTTGCTAAAATAATGTTTCTTAGACAGGATTGTTTCATTATATTAGAGAGGTTGAGGCGCACGTTTTAAACGTGTAAACGTGTACGTGTGACGTTCGGCGGCGCTTTCCCGTAAGCCTAAAAGTTTGACGATGGTGTTTGGAATGTCGAGCGTAATTCCACCGACTATCCAAACACCATTGTCAAACTTTTAGGCTTACGGGAAAGCGCCGCCGAACGTCACACGTACACGTTTACACGTTTAAAACGTGCGCCTCAACCTCTCTATTATCTTATGTCTCATGAGAGTGAGTAATAAACATGTTAAAAATTAGTGAAAATTCAAACTATACCAAAAAAACAGTTTTTGAAATAGTATGTTTCCTGCAAGTGGCTTAAAGGAAAACTAGTGGGATTCTCCTTTAAGCCACTTGCAGGAACAACTTCTGTTGTGCATGGACTGTAGTTATTTCAGCATAACTATTAAAATAAATTTACTTCTATAAAAATCTTTTGCTTTATAAAGTTATTATATGATAAAAAGTGAAGGAAGGAAGGAACAAAACAAATTTTGGAATGGGTGATTGCTCTTACCGGCCCTTTCTCGAGATGTCCTTGCCGTAATGAAACATTATATGGCATTTGGTTATATTTGTAGACTCCAAATGAAACTAAGAAGAAAAAATTGATTAAAAATATTCAGTTGTTACTCAAAGCTGCAATATATTGCAGAATAAATTTTATACCAATTAAATACACCCTAGGAAGTTGATTAGATTTACTTTTTTTATGAATAATTAAAATTCCTTTTATAGTAGTAAAAATATAAATTAATGACAACGAATTGTAAAAAGTAAAAATTTATATTGAGTATTAAATTTATAAAGTATTTGCACTAACTCTGAATTATTCTGTGTGTGATAAATATATAATTGATGATGATAAACAAAATTAGTGAGAAAAAATTATTAAATAATTTTTATTAATAATGTTTCTGAGCAGAAATTTTTCAAAGCATATATTTTTGTTTGAAAATACTTTTTGATTTTATTAAAAATTTGAAAATATTTATTATTTTGTAATAGTTTTATTTTTTGTTTGTTATTGAATTATTGCCTGTTTAAGGTATAAATAATACTGGTTTATTTTATTTACTACTACATTATATTACATATACAAATACAGAATTAATACTGTGTAATGTTTATAAATGATTAAAGATCATCACTACTTACAAAAGCAAAGTGCATAATAGTGTAAGATTGTTTATCCAATGGCAGATATCATTTTAAAAACAAATAGTACTTGTTTGGGATCATAGTTATTGTTTACGGTGGATCAAGTAGTTTTTTCTAGTGATGGGACGATACAAAGATTTCTCTTGATTTTGGTTCTGCTGAAAAACTTGATTCTGACTCCAATTTTTTTGAATACTATCTAAAGTTTATTTTATTATAGAAAAATGAATGATTTACATTATGAGAATGGTACATAAATTAATTAATAAATATCAAGCTTAAGAATGGAAAATCCAGAGTCAATCTTTCAAAATAAACCTGAAAATTCTCCATTTATATGTGGATATGCATGCTGTTATTGTGTACTATAAAATAAATATGTAATCTTAATTTAGATAAAGTTAACATTGCAACACTACACTCAAAGAAATTACTATTAATTCTGTAATACTATAGATCCCATCATGTCATTTAAGGTCGACATCTTTGGAAACTACTTTGTTGGTTGATGTGATGACGGGGGGAAGATAAATGAGAAGATGCACTTTTTTTAAAAATGCTTTTCACAATCAGCATGCCTCATAAATGCTTTAATTTTATCATATTTAACATTAATTAAATGAGGTTCAGCAAATGAAGCAATGAGCTGAACAAATATCATTCTCACGAGTTAAAGTTTTGAATTCATTCACTTGTGCTAGGTTATCCTAAATTACAATTGCATAAATTGTTTTTGAGGAAAATAAGAAAAAAATGAATGCCTAGACTGACTCATCTTGAAAAATCAATTTTTAAAATTCAAAATGGAGGTAAGCTTAGCATGAAAAATTAATTATACAGTAGAACCTCGAAAACTCGGCTCTCGATAACCCGGCACTCCGGATAACTCGACCACACCCTGGCAGGGCAAAAAAATCCTTAGTTAATTAATTTTCATTATAGACAGCTTTATAAAAGTATAAAAGCTCTCATAAAGTATTTTTCTGTGGTCTGTCTTATCAGGTAAATTACTGTACACAGTGTATTCATTAATTTTCATTTTCATGTAGTAAAGGCTTTATGCCTTCATAAAGGACGTACTTTTCCTTTGTTTAAGGGTATTTGGGCAGTTTATTCTCTGTTATATTCTCAAGTAAACAATACATACGAGTACAGTACAGTATTTTCTGAGGAAACACTCGTACTTATTTTTTTTAACCCCATTCCCGAT